AGTATAATCGGGGACTTCTCAGGTGGCACAGTCATGCAGTGTCTTCTACAGTCTCATCACAAGTCATTCTAACCCTAAGAACAAGCAGAACAATGAAAGTTAAAGAGGGAAAGAGCCAACATATCTTTTCAAGTGGACCACTGGACTTGGTCCTGTGACACTTTCTGAAGAGGATTTTAAGTTTCTTAAATTAACCTTAGAAATAATTCGGACTTAGAGAAAAGGTAGGAATACCACAAAGAATTTTCATATATTTGTTACCAGTTTCCACATATTATTGTACCACATGTTATATATGTATCTCTATACACACAAATCACACAATATTGTTTTCTGAACCCTTTGATAATTAGTTGCCTAAATTATGCTTTTTACCCAAAAATAATTCAGTGTGCAATTCCTAAAAACAAGGATATACTTTCATAATTATATAATTACAGTATAATGATTAATGTCAAGAAATTAGAGGTACATGATTATCTAGTATCTTGATTTTATCCAAATTGTACCAGATCACAATGTATCCTTTATATCAAAAGACTTATTTTTTTTTCTAATCAGGAGCTAATTCCAATCACACTTGCATTAACTTGTCATGTGTCTGAGGAGTTATTCCAGAGCAATTCCTCTGTCATTGTCTTTTGCAGTTTTCAACAGTTTTTAAAAATACTGGTCTGTGGTTTGATCAAATACCTTTTAATTTGGGTTTGTTTAGTGCTTTCTCATGATAAGATAAATTTAGATGACATATTTTTGGTAGGAATACATCAGAAATTATGTGTCTGTATAACTCATAGATTTTTATTCCATGGCTTACAACTCATTATTATCGGTGCTGGCTACATGAACTGTGGGGCTCAGTGCAAAATGAAAATGAAGATCTGGATAGGGGTATGGAAATTAATTTTCCTCTTCTCACAGTCCCAAACCTTGGCAAATGGGTAACCTTCCTTGCTCTAAACCCTGCAAATGGGTAACTCCCAAGGGACTATAATCTTTAGGCTGGGAGGTTTTTTTTTTTTTTAGTTTTTGTTGAAATGACATTGCCCTGTAGTATTATGTAAGTTTCAGATGCATCATTATAAATCCACATTTATACACATTATATTAAATTCCTGGTTGGTGGCGACTTGTCATTCAAGTCCCCATTGAGTGACACATGAAATGTGCCATAGCACTGTCAGGGCAGGCACAACTGCTTTTTTTGCCCATCCCTGGGATGATATGGGGCATGTGTCCAATTCTGACATCTCTTGTGCTCAGGTTCTTGCAGAGATGGAAAATGTTGGCAGAATGTAGGCCTCCACAACCAAGGTGACCCAGTAATTGTCCTGGAGCAAGGCAGGGACCAAAGGTTTGAATTGGCAGTGGAGGAGTGAGAGCCATGTGTGCATCTTGAGTACTCTTTATCCCCCCAAACTTGAATTTGAGCCTTTGATTTATTTCAATTTTTATGTGACGTGAGCTGTGGATCCAGTTTGTGCATGTCAGTATCTAGTTCTCTCAACACCCTTTGTTGAAGAGACCATACTTTCCTCCATTGAACTATCTTGGCACTTGTGTAGAAAATCACTTGACCATAGATTTATGGTCTCATTTCTAAACTCTCAAATCCATTCTAGTCATCTGTATCACTGTGTCAATACCACAGTGTTTTAATTATTATAACTTGTGTTAAGTGTTGAAATCAGGAAATACAGTGGGTTAAAGCACAGCACTAAGAAGCTAAAGCCACTTCAGCATGAGTTAGATCCCTGCCCCGGAGGTGACCCGCATTGCGTGGCAGACCTCTCCTGACCTGCCTGCTGCTCCCCTCAGCAGTGTACTTACTCGATCTGCCTGTTCTGTTCCCCACTCTGTCTCTGGTGAATCCTCTCACCGCCCCTGCATCTCTGGCTTGTACCCCAGTTCTGTATGCGTAAATAAAAAATAAATCTTAAAAAAAAAATCATGAAACTTAGGTACCTCAGTTTCAATCCTGTTAATGATCCTGAAGCTGGTACTGTGCATGTTTTAAGCAGTAGGTTGCGATTAGAAGTCCCAGCATAGTAAGCAGGGGTTATACTTCAACCAGTTCTGTGGCTGGTATAAGAAAGACTATAAGTAGGATTTTTTAATGCAATTTTTTATTTATATCTTTTACATCATTATAATAGTCCCCATAAAATTCCCACCTTCACCATTGTCCCTTGTGCTCTTCTCTCCCCTGTTTTAAATTGGAGCACTAGTTATGGTCAGTATTCTTGATTTGTGTAATAAATTTCCTTCTTCCCCTCTTTTTTCAGATTGTTTTGTATTTCCTCTGTCATTAGCTTAACTGCTGAGTCATCCTCTGGGCTCTATACCAAGTTCTGCTTTTGCCCTCTTGGTATGATTTCTAGTCTAGCTCATTGATTCTCACGTCTTTGGGTGATACCTCCAGTACATGTATCCTGTGTTTCAGATCAACCTATTCAACTTCATATAAACTGTTTCACCTGGATGTTTTGCTGATGTTGTTAAACTAAACTTGAAATGACCATATTCATTATGGTCTATTTTGCTATCCTTTTCTATTACAATAGGACTTACTTTAACTCAGTTTACTCAATGCTCCCAGTGGGCATTCCCATACCTTCCTCCTCTCTCTCACTCCTAAAACTAAGTTTTCAACATTCAAATTCTTCTAAATTTCTCAAACCCATCCATTCCCCTCCATCGTATTGTCCAGTGTCTGATGTTATTGATCTCTCACATTCATTCTTAGTCTAAGTGCCATTAAGAAAATGAGTTCTAAGTTCTAACCCTTGGCTGTGCCCCTTGCTAATTGAATGATCCTGGTCAGATTAGATTGCTTAACACTTTTGGGCTCAGTTTCCTCACATATATTGTGGGTTTAGGGAAATTATAAGCAGTTAGTGAAGTGATATCAGCAAGACTTTTAGCATAGTGGCAGATTCAGAACATGGTAAATGGTAAGTAAATGTTAGCTCTTAACATTATAATCATGCCAGGATTCTTCATAATTCAACCTCTGCTTCTCTCTCTAGTTTCTTCACTGATTGTTTCCTTCTCAGGAATGTCAGCTTTCTTGAACTTTCAGTTGCTTTAATAGCACACTTTCCTTTTGAATTCAAACCTTAACTCTCTTTCTCTGGAATTCTTTTCTCCCTCACCCTCCCACCTTATTAATCCTTTGTAATTTACAACTTTCTGTGGCAAGTCTTGGTTTGGTGTCACTTATCTGTGTTCCAATACCACTATTTAACTTCTCTTATCTCACTGCACCAGAGTTAACTGCTTAGACTTGTTGGCCTGTCAAGCTCCCAGAAGGCAGGCAACAATTTATCTTGTTCATGATTGCATCTCCAGTACTGAACACAGTGTTAACTCACTGAATGAATGAATGGGCCACCTCATCACTCTTTTCTGATCTATTGTCTGGTAATATCCTGATCACAGATATGTCTGCTCATGCGAATGGGGGAGTGAGGTGGCAAAAGGGAGGTTCTCCCTGTATCATGTCAGCCATTACCAGTTGCTGCATTGATGTTTCCCTAGATCTTCCCTAGCTCTAGGATCCCTAAGTACTGATCTTTGATCAGTATTCACAAGTCTGTTCTACATTGATCATGGTGGATGCTTTGTTTATTTTCTCCCACTAGTCTGATAGTTCTTATTCACCTGGGGTACATCCCTTGAAACCATCACTCCATGAAAATATTATCTTTAAGTATGAGATCACTGTGCTTTATTTGCCTGAAGATTTTAGATTGACTGTATATTCAGTATTTGGCAATTTCATATGGCTTATACTATTAAGTTATTTTATAAATTGGAAACTTATGTAAGAATTCATTTGTACTGTGATGCAAACTGTGAGTAGCTACATACTGAGAGCATAATGGGGTTGGGCAGGTGGTTCTAAGACATTAGAATCTGGGGTTAAAATAGACACAAGTCAGGGAGATGGGGCAAATTATGAGAATCTGCCCCAGATGAGGGTTTCCACTCATTTTGTTCTGCTTAGAAATTAAGTTATTTGGTTCAGAGCTGCTTTACTGGACCATCTAGGGAAGCAGGCCCAGATGCCAGTGCTCAGCTCCCCGGTTGGATGCCTTTGTTGGGAACCTTTTGGATGGGCTGAATAAAATCTCCGGTTCAAGAAGCACGTTCGCATAAAACTTTCAACGCTGAGAGAAGAACGCCACTAGGGGGCAGCAAAGACCTGCATATTTCTACCTCGGTGCCTTTTTTTGTTTTTGTTTTTAAACAAAACCCAAGAAACTATGTTTTGCCTCTCTCCTTCTCTCTTCTTTATTTCTCTCTCCCTCCTTCTCTCTCCCCTCTTAATTCTGAAATAAATTGCTCAAACACTTCTACACAGGATTTTTAAATCCGAAGCAGACAGTACAAGTAGAGACGTCGCAGTATGCATTTCCTGACAGAATTTTACCTTCCCATCACCCCCAATTCCACTTGCCCACGTCCTAGCCTCCCTGAACATTCCCTCGCCAGGGGAAGGCTATGCTCAGGGCAGACCGAATGCGAAGTGATGGGGTGGGGTGGACAGAGGTGAATCCGGCAGCCCGGAAGCCCGACCCAAGAGTTCGGCGAGCAGGAAGAGTCTCCCTGATATAAGTACCCAGGACAGGGCCAACTTTGCAGCTGCTAAGAGCTTCTGGCTACTGCGCTGGAGACACCGATCTGATGTCCTGCAAAACACCTTTAGAAAATGGCTTTTGGGGGAGGAGATTTGGCAAGGGCACCAAATGCTTAGCAGCACACGGATCCTGCAGGAACTTGTAAATGTCACCCCCGTGTCTGAAAAAACGAAAACAACTCTCTAAGGCTTCACGCCTCCCAGGAAAGGGCAGTGGAGACCAGCCGAGACCAACCAGGCGAGGGTGGCTCTGGTACCTCCCTAGAGGATTCTCCGCACTTAGGACGGGACTGGGAGCCTGCGTGCCCCGGGCGCCTGCTAGTGCTCTCGCCTGGGTCGGGCGGGGGGTGCTCCTCGATGTGACAGGAGGAAGCTGGAGGTGGAGGGTTGAGAGGAGGTCCCGCCCCCACCTCGTTCTCCTTTACGGGAAGTGCTGTGGGGCAAGACGGAAAATACCCGATAAGTACCCAAAAAAGGCCGGCAGCGGGTAGACGCGGCGCGGAGACCTAGAGTAGAGAGAGCTGCGGGGCGAGCCAGGTGAGCGCGACCGCTGCGCGGGCTGGGGAGAAGCGCGCTCTCTTCCCACACTTTAGATTAATCCCTAGCGCTGTAGACACATTATGTCTACATAACGTGTGCCCGGAACAAGTTAGATTCATCCCCAGCGCTGAGCGAGGTGGCCGAGGGGCTGGGTTGGCGCTGGGAAGGGCTGGGGCGCTTTCTCTCCCTGTTCTGGGCGCCTTGGCCAGCCAGAAAAGTTGCTTTGCTTCTCCTGCGCCGTCGCCACAGATCCCACCATGCGCCCCTCAAGCTCCTGAGGTGGGGACCAGGGCTTGGAGATTATCTTGAGTGGGGCCGAGTTGGTTCAGTGCTAGGTGGGAACGGGCTTGAGGTCACCTCCTGGTGTGTTCCAGTAGTTAGGGTCCCCATCAGGGAGGAAAGAAACTTAACTGGCAGATACTTCCTGGATTGTCTCCCTAGTTCTTTATCACCCTCTGTTCAGTTCAATTAGTTATGTCTTTACTTCCTTGCTTGTGAGGGGCTGGATGGGAGACTGGAGAGGTGTCAGGGTTTGCACTTCTGTCAGAAAACTACTTGGCTGCCAGGCAGGTTAGGGCTAATGTGATGACAGGCATTATTAGTGACAATTGCCAAAGGCTTGTCTCTGGGCCAATAGCTCACTTGTTAAGCCAAAGTTGGGCCTCAAATGAAGGAGATCTTGTGAGTCTTTCACGTTGTCTACCCAGCCATTTGGTACCCTCGGACCACCTGGGCCCACTTAGCTTCAGAACCTTCTGCCACCGGGTCCTTATTCCTGTGTGCTAACAGCTGTTTTGTCCCTTCTGGATGGATTCTGCTTTTTTGGTTGGTTGACCAGTCAGATGTGACGAGGTGGGTATAGTATTATGCCATGTCAGTTTTTGTAATTACTGCTGGTTCAATTTGTTTTTAGCTTCCTTGAAACAAAGATCGGAAAAAAGTGTTTCTGCACATGGTTAGAAATGAAAAAAAGTTAATATAATGATGAAAGAACTTGAGCGAGGATCTTTTTTTTTTTTTTTCTGTTTTATATTGGTTTTCAGTTCTACTTTTCCCCCTTCCTTCTTTCTTTCACCTTCCTCATTTCCATGGCTGGACTTGATTTTTAATTTTAATGAACTATTATTAACCTTTTTTCCTTGTGATTTTGCTGTCAAATATAAGATAGCATTGCCAAATTCAAGGTTTTGAAGATTTAGATCTATGTTTTCTTGTAAGAATTTTGTAGTTTTAGCTCTTAGATTTCAATCTAATTTTTGTGTGTGATGTGAAGTAAGGGATCCAACTTCATGCTTTTGCATGAGAATATCAAGTTCTCAGAGCACTGTTTGTTAATAAGGCTATTTCCCTATAAATCATCTTGGCACCTCTGTTGAAAATCAGTTGATTGTAAATGTGAGGGGCTTTCAATTCTATTCTACTGATCTATTTCTCTGTTTATATCGTGTACTGTCCTGTCTTACACTTAAAGGTATCTGAAAAGAAAGGACTATAAGTTCCTGTTGAACATACTGATAAGTTAATGACTAAATCTGGATTTATTTTTATAATTGCAAACTTCTACTCATACATTTAATTTTCTTAGCCAGTAGCAATAAGTACTTTGTCTTCTTGTCTTGCTTGTGCAGAAACAGTGGAATAGACAGGGCTTCCTATTGTCCTTTCTCAGTGAGAATTAATCAGCCTAGCAAGTATAGTACTTAACCTTTTGTTATTTCAAAAATCAAACCTCCCCTCCATTATTATCAAACTTGGAATATGCCTTATGTTGCTCTTCACTGCAAATTATGAAAAAGACTTATTTTACATTTATATGGCATATATATATATATATAATTTTCTAATGAGTTATGATAGGTCTGGTACGTCCTGATAAACAAAACATGACTTCCATGTTTAAAGTGTGAGCTTTAAATAACTATTACAGATGATGGGGAATTCTTTCACACAATGTACAATATCTTAAATCACCACTATGTACACTTTGAATATCTTAGCATTTTATCTGTCCATTTTACATCAGTAAAACTGAAGTTAAAAAATAAAGTGTGGAAAAAATAAATAAATAAAGTGGGGGCCCTCCCTGGTGGTGCAGCAGGTTAAAGCACAGCACTGAGAGTCTAAAGCCACTTCAGCATGAGTTAGATCCCTGCCCGCCCCAGAGGTGATCCACATGGCCCGGCAGACCTCTCCTGACCCGCCCCCTGCTCCCTTCAGCAGTGTGCTTAGTCAATCTGCCTGTCCTGCTCCCCACTCTGTCTCTGGTGAATCCTGTTATGAACCTGCACCTCTGGCCTGTACCCCAGTTCATAATGAATAAATAAATAAATCTTAAAAAAAAAAATGTGAACCCTGAGAAGCACAGTCCTCTTGCCATTGTAAAACAAGATTGCCTTTTTCAGGAGAGTCATTTCTTTTTTCCTTGCCTTTGCTTTTACTGCCCTGTGTGGATTTTGTTTGGCTCATATTTATTCCTTCATCTTTTGCTCAGGAAGTTTGAGTTTATGATCTGGTTTCCCTTAAACTGATTACCTTGGGAGCAGACGTGACTGCATGAAGCTGGAGGAAGAGATAAAGGATTTGTAATTAAGGGTACAGGGTGAGCCTCCAGCTGGTGTTTCTCCTGCCTGGCTGTGCTGCAGGCCGAGGGCACTGTGCTCCTTTTTGTGTGATTGTGGTCTCCAGGCACTCTTATATTATTTTCTGCCCAGTAGCATTGGATGCCTTGCTTACTCAAGAGGAAAGTTGGAAGTTCTTACTCCTTTTTTTCTTTTAACCTCTCTGTTTAGTATTCTAGAGAAGGCCATCCATTTAGAGAATCAGTCACTGTAAGAACCACCCACATATATGAAATCAGACTCTGATTCTTAAAATTGAACTTTTAACGTGGTGTTAGAGGTATGGTGCCAGATTTTGCAAGCAAAAAATTTGCATTTTGGATAAACAATGAATAATTTCTTCTTCTGTTCCATGGAATATTTGGAACATATTTGTACTAAAAATTGTTTTTATGGAATATATATTTTAACTGAATATGTAATCTTTAATCTAGTTGCCCTAGTGGTAAACACATCTTTATTGCAAAGGTAATGCATTGATCATGATAATGTCCAAAGAATGACTGGGCTCAGGTTCGTTTTGATGACTGTCTGTGTGTCCATCTTAAAGAAGGAGAGGACTTGTAAACCTAAGGAATAAGAGAAGGAAGTTGGAGAAGATTCCTTGTCACTTTAGCCTTTTGTAGGTAAGGACTTTAATCAGAGATGTCACTTTACCAGGTCATATAGAGTAGGGGCAGAGCCAGAGCAGGAGGTCCAGGTCCTGTGGTTGGTCTGCTCCATAGTGTCCTCCCCAAGAAGTTGTGTGTAAGTTGCTTTTGTTTTTGTTCACCCTTAATCACTTTTGCAGTCACCTGACCATGATGAGTCCATTACTGTGCTGCCTTCCAATCCCCAGATCCAACATGTGGCAGGAAGAGCCATTCTCATGAGATGCTCTTGACTTTTTTAGTAAGAGCCACTTGACTACTAGAAGCTATCTTTTGGGTTTATTCCCTGTTTTGATGCCAGAAAACATGTTTGATGTTTGTTTCCCTCTACCTCCTTCACTCTTAGGGTCTTATTAATATATTCTTTAAGAATAACAAATTTTTGGGCCCTCCCTGTGGCGCAGCGGGTTAAAGCACAGCACTGAGAAGCTAAGGCCACTTCAGCATGAGTTCGATCCCTGCTCTCCCTGGAGGTGACACACATGGCGCAGCAGACCTCTCCTGTTCCACCCACTTCTCCCCTCAGCTGTGTGCTTCATTGATCTGCCTTTTCTGCTCCTTACTCTGTCTGGTGAATCCTCTCACTGCCCCTGAATCGCTGCCAGTTCTGTACTCACAAATAAATCTTTAAAAAATAAATAAAGAATAACAATTTTTTTTTTTTACTAAAGCATAAGATTTACGGAATTTTCCAGACAAGCCATATGAAATGGTCACAGGCTTTAATTTTTTTTATTTTTAAAGATTTGTTTATGCCTACAGAACTGGGGTATAGGCCAGAGGTGTGATAGGTGAGAGGCTTCACAGAGAGAAGGGTTGGCGGGGAGCAGAACAGGCAGATCAACAAAGTACACTGCTAAGGGTAGCAGTGGGCGGGTCGGAAGAGGTCTGCCACACCATGTGGGTCAGCTCCCTGGCCAAGGATCGAACTCATGCTGCAGTGGCTTCAGATAGCTTCATAATGCAATGCTTGAACCTGTTGCATTACCAGGGATAACCCCACAGGCTTTATTTTTAAAGGGAAGATTCTATACTTGACTGCACAGTCACGATGTTGTTAGTAAAGACTGTGCTATGATTTAAAAAATCATGTTGTCAATCTACAGCATTTAAATAAACTGAGACTTGGCAAGAGAGCAAATGCTAAAGGTTTGGTTAGCTACTTTTAACAAATGCAAATAGATCAACATAGAAAGGGGGAATGCAGCCCATAAAATTAAAAGAAAACTCTTCCTCCTAGAAAAGTAATAAAAACATCCACAGCCTTGCAGTTAACCATGACAACTACCTTTATTAATAGTGCTTTTTGCTTAAACCATGATGGGGAAAATGAATAAAAGCAGAAAGGGATGACTGCATTTTCGCCTTAGCAACAATCCAGATGATACTTGTAGCCTTTGCGCTTGCTTTGCAACAGTGAATTAGGACAAAATGTGCTTAATCACCAAAGGACTGATGATGTCTGGGTTTTTATTCTGTAATGTTTCTAAGACTGTGTCTATTAAATGCAAAAAAAAAAAAATAGGAAGCAGTCTTATCTGAACAGGAAGAAGGGATGCACATTTGCTAATCAGATGGATTTAAACACTGCTCAGGGAACTGTTCTGTGGCTTGGGTTTCATTGATCTTCCACTGTTCTGCTCTGTCATTTGCTAATGGATCATCTGGATTGGGATTACTTCACAAACCTGATTGATAGCTGAACTGTGTGCATCTGCAGTGTGGGGAC